GACACAAGCAATCATCATCAGGTGTGAAAACCACAGCAAGAAAATTTGAAAAAAGTGGCGTTTTTTATTTTATTTATTTTTTAAACATTAGCACCACGTGGTGCTGACGTTTAAAAAAAAAACGCCACTTTTTTCTAATTTTCTTGCCGTGGTTTTCACACCTGATGATGATTGCTGCTTGTGTTGCAGTCGAAACGTCGTGATAATTTTATTGTTTTATATTTTTATTATTTTATTGTTTCCCTTCTACGTGGTGGTGACTTTACTGAGAGAACCAAGAATAATCTTGGCACTTGTTGAATTAGTGGCTTACGCTGTACATCGTTCCTTGTACCGACAATGCCTCTGGTTCCCAGCAGGGCCGCTGGGATGGCGTGTGTGTGTGTGTGTGTTGAACACATATTTAAGTCGTAGTTTCGTGGTCATTTTAAGGCTGCGATGGCTGGTCATGTAGCCCGCATGCCCAGCCACCGCATGCCGAAACAGCTTTTGTTTGGCCGGATCGAGGGGGCTAAACGGGCGCGGCACGGGCTAGAGAAGAGATGGAGTGATGTGGTACAGGAGGACGTGGAGCTGAGTGGACTTGCCGATGACCGGTACCAGCGGTGTCAAGATCGGCCTCTGTGGAGGAGGCTCGTGAAGGACGCTGCTGGGCAGTTGGAGGCAGTTGGAGGCAGTTGCCCTCCAACAACAACGGAGGGCGGAGGAGCGACGCTCACAACAACGAGCGGAACGGCGAGTGGCTAAAGCACAGCGGGTTGGCACAGTAGGGGGCACAGGTGGTGCATCAGCCAGTCATCTCAGTCAGTCGACCCGTGGCACCCGCTGGGTCTGCCCCGTGACCTCCTGCCAGCGGGCGTTCGACACTTCACGTGGCCTCAGGGTGCACATGGCCTGGCACAAGCGTCGTGGTGACGTCACCGCCACTTAGTGGCGAATGGCGGTTGTTGTGATCGCAGCTCGTCCGCCGGTCGCCACTCCTCACACTTGCCTCGGTTCTGTCTGCGTCGATGTGTGTGTGTGTGTGTCGGGCACCCGGCGCTGTCGCCAGCGCTGTGGCCATTGAATTCGTTGGCCGCTTGTGCACGTGCGTGCCTGCGGTCGCCATGTTTTTTTTCCTTTCACTCGTCACGGAATAGTTAAGAGAAGGAAATTCTTATTTTGCACCTCTTATAGCTTGGTACCGCGCCACCTTACGCAGTTTCGACTCTGCAAGTGACTCGAAGGACGTTGTGAGCAGTGTTTACAGCACTCACATATTTGCGTGGTATTTGATATATTATGGGGAGAGCCCCCCCCCCTCCCCCCCCTGCATAATTATCTACTGCTACCATGTGCTGTGTTAGCTGCCGGAAGAGATAGGCGGTTGGCGAGGCTCTGATCCCGTGGAATACATATTGGTCAAGTGTGATTGACATATTTCGCAATTGTATCTCTTCTGAATGACCCTCGGTCTAATGCTTCGATGATAATTATTTGGTGTATGCTTAACCACGATTTGTGGTATACCGTAGTTGTTACCGAGGGTATTCCGAGGGTCTTATTGCCCTCTGTTCCCCATCTGTGTCGCCGGCAGGGATCTGTGCTTCTTACACTCAAGTTAGTTATATTTTGACTTTCTGATGTTGAGACATAGCTAAGCTTCGAACCTTGTGTTGTATTTTAAAACCCCAGGCAGTTCCGCAACGACTCACTGCCCCTGGCTAGTTCTCGCCGTCCGGTGAGATCCGTGACCCCTTCTGTTTGTCCGGTGTACGTGTTGTTCTCTTAATGGCATTTGCCTCGATGTCATTTTTTGGAATTTACCGCAGAATCTCATTAGCCCCCCCCCCCGCCCCCCCCTTTTTTCACCGGGTTTTTTGTTGTTTTGTTTATCACATTTAGAACCTCCCCAGGTGTCCGTTGTGTGGCGAGCCAGCGGGCGGGGGGGGGGGGGGGGGGGATAGATGTTAACTACCACACCTGGTAAACAGGAAGACGTGGATTATGTATGATGTTAACTCTTTTTCCTGGTGTACAGGAGGTCGTGGATTTTCGAGGAGGTGTTAACTCCCTCGCCTGGTATACAGGGGGTTGTGGGTCGTGCTGCTGTGCTCCCCTGATCTCACCGTCTGTCTTTCTCGCTTTTTCCGCCCCGGCTTCTCCCCATGATCGCGAATGACTTCATCGCGGCTGGCCCGGTAACCCTTTTTGTGCCCATACACTACTGAGCCAATTCAGGGGCACCGCGATGTAATTGTCCTGCAAGGGTCGGCCAATCCCCTTGCACCGGGAAACCGTGGAACTTTCCTTATAGGGACCCTTCGGATTAAAACCCGTTGTGCCAAGCAATCCCATTCCAGGACACCACGTGTGTGCGCTGCGTGTGAGTATTCAGTGTGGGGGGCAGCGGGGGGGGGGGGGGGGGTGGGAGGGGGGTCACAGCGCTTGCAGAATGGCTCCGAAGCCCTGGCACCACAGTATAACATCTCCTAGCCACCGTGATGATAATCTAATCGACGATCGACTGCGTACCACAACTGCGTAGAGGCCTCCAACATAACGCACACATGGACACCCACCGTTCCCCCAAACACCTTTACACTTTTAATATCTGCAACATACGTATATACATTGCCGTGCAATCATATTGTAATCACATTATATGCGGTAAACTCACACACATACAGTATATATATACCTGTAATCAGTACACACAATAGAAACGGTCGATTTTACTTTCAAATTTCAGACTTCTTCACTTCTCTTGACGCATTCCGATCACTGGGTTTCCGGTTGCAGCTAGAACCGACACCGATGAGGTCCCAATGCGGGCTACGGGACTTGGAAAAATATACGCAAGTGGCCCGTGAAAACCCACGTTGCATGCAATTTTGTCAAAAGGCTTTTTTGGTACAACCCACCACTCGATCAGTTTAACGCCACAGCCTAGGGACTCTTCTACTTACGCACATTCCACTTATGAACTTTCAGAGATACGAACCAACCCAGTTTCCCATTCGGACCGAGAGTCATAAGTTCAACCACCGCACAATAGATGGCGGTAGTGTCATCTACATCTGCAGAACGTGAAGAGACCAGTGGCATCTACATCTGCAAAACATGAAAAACCAGTGGCATCTACATCTACAGAACGTGAAGAACCAGTGGCATCTACATCTGCAGAACGTGAAGAAACAGTGTCATCTACATCTGCAGAACGTTAAGAAACAGTGTCATCTATATCTGCAAAACATGAAGAACCAGTGGCATCTACATCTGCAGAACGTGAAGAAACAGTGTCATCTATATCTGCAAAACATGAAGGATCAGTGGCATCTACATCTACAGAACGTGAAGAACCAGTGGCATCTACATCTGCAGAATGTGAAGAACCAGCGGCATCTACATCTGCAGAACGTGAAGAACCAGTGTCATCTATATCTGCAGAACATGAAGAACCAGTGGCATCTACATCTGCAGAACGTGAAGACACCAGTGGCATCTATCATCTACAGAACTCGAAGAACCAGGGGAATCTACGTCTACAGGAGATTCTACAACTTTTAAAGCCATTCGACAGGAGTAAAGTTGGACTTTCAAACAAATTGACTTACGAATAGACCTCTGGAATCTAACTTGTAAGTAAATAAAGGAATCCCTGTAATAATAGTTAGGAGCTTTTGCGACCAATGTTATCCATAATGGGGTTTTTTTATTGTTAGATGGCGTAAAATATAAATGTTGTGTTGTTAAACCCGACACCACCACCCGACACCACAGCCCAATTAGTGTAAGGGGTTGGTGTCACGTAAACAAAACCTGCTGATTAATTACTTAGTTCAGCAATTACCGGTGTGTGTGTACGTTGGGGAGTAAACCCACGACAACATGTACGATTTTAGGCTAGTCGCCTGACAAGGCTACTGCTGCTTGTTGTTCTTGTTGTAATTACTTACGAAACGTCACCTTAACTACAATTGTTGCAGATTTTTGCTCTCTGGCACACACAGACCCATAGACTCTCCTGTGTAAGGAGTCTATGGGTCTCTGTGTGAGTCTATGGGTCTCTGTGTGAGTCTATGGGTCTCTGTGTGAGTCTATGGGTCTCTGTGTGAGTTTATGGGTCTCTGTGTGAGTCTATGGGTCTCTGTGTTAGTCTATGGGTCTGTGTGAGTCTATGGGTCTCTGTGTGTGTTGAACTTCTTTCACACCATACGTAGCCAACGGTGCTCATCAGCGGCGCGGCAACCATGATAATTAACTCCGCACATGATTCTGTGATGTATAGCTTTGTAGACGTACACATGATCTGTTGATTTGCTAATATGCCTTTTAATCTGGTATGCTGTTCCTAATTTCCCTGTAAAATTTACCAATTTCTCCTGCTGTAATGTAAAGCTATAGATATCTCAAAACACTTCCTTCAGGGTTAGTAGCTACTTGTTTTTTTTATCGGTCACAGTTGCTATGATCACTGTTACATTGCATTTATGGCTTTATTTTGGTGAATTCTAAAAGTTTTTTGGTATGGCCATGTTTTTGTTTATTGTAGTACGGAGTTAGACTGATGGCCTTAATCTACGTTTTCTTGTTGTTGTTGTTTGACTTGCATCCCACTGGGATTTTTGCACACAGCGTTGGTGTACGGTGCTATTTCAGGAATATTTTGATGTTTTTTCCTGGATTTTCTGTTTGCACAGTCAACACAAAGTCACTTTAAGATGTTTTCTTGTTCATGTTTTTGTTTTTTTGTTTGTTGCGGTTGCACCCGATTCACAGGGCTATACCAAATAAATGAAACTATGAAACAAGAGCCGCTGTGTAGTTGCTCTTTGTCAGAAGTGACCCTGGCCATCACAAACGATAAGCAGCTCAACGGAGTGGACTTCAACATCAACATCATCATCGTCGTTTGGACATTTCTAGCAGAAGCCAAATACTCTAAATGCCGTGACATTGATTATAAATGTGGAGGAGAAAACCCAAAGAACCAGGAGAAAAATCCATGCGACCAAGGGGAGAGAGACGCAGACTCCAAATATACAGCAGCAGGCATCGTCAGGGTCTGGATGACCTCCGTATAACCGGCGACGCAGTTAACATCTCCTAGCCACTATGATGATGAGAGAGACACAGACTCCCTCACTCCCCCCTCGCTCCCTCCCCTCCCCTACCCACCCTCCCTCCCTCACTGTATAACCCGAGTGCTTATCTGAAGACGTCATTAATATCCGTAAGTGGTTTGGTTGATGAAGCTCAGGACCCTCCAGACCCTGTTGAGCAGAGACGCCGGACCGCAGGAGCCACGGCCGCCCACGCCCGTCACGTACTGGCGCCCGTCCACCTCCTTGCACAGCAGTGGCGAGGTGTGGTCCTGGTGCACGCGCACGAGAGACAGAGACATAGATCCCTCCGGCAAGACTGTCGGGGGGGAGGACCAAGTGCTGTGAGGAGGGGTGCCGCAGCTCTGCCTATGAAGGCCGGCAAACTGTGGGCACACGATGTGGGGGTGGGTTGGCCAACACCAACACCACCACCACCACCACACCGGGCCGCCTTTGTCTTCCCCAGTGGCGGCGTTTACACATCGGGCTGAGTACTCATTTGAGGCTGATTAAAACCTAGGGGAGGTCCAGGACTGAGTTCAGATGACCGCTGACAATGGTGTTGGTGGCCCTGAGCGGGAGTCAAACTTGGGTCTCTGCTGGGGTTCGTAGGGCATTGTAGCGCCAACCGTTGGACCACCGCTCCCCAAAGATCCCCCGGGGTAGCCTATTCACGGGGTAAAAAAGCTATTTTTATATATTGACAGACTGTTGGGGCAAGTGCTGTTAGCAGCGAGTAGCAGCAGCGGCAGCACTGCCTATCAAGGCCTGGCACGGCAATTTATAATATTACGGATAATATTGGTCGCGAAAGCCTACTCCGTGTGAAACTAGGTGGCATCTGTGCCAAGCGTGCGTGCTTGCGTTTCTAGAATTGTCCTTCAAAGGTACGGTCTCGGAAGACCAATGGATTAATGAGAAATCGCTTCATTCGATTGGCGACTAAGTGACGCCACCACGGCGCCTGTGCCAGGCTAGGTGCACTTTGAGGCTATCACGTGAAGTGTCGAAGGCTCGCTCGATGACAGGGAGGTCTCGGGACAGACCCCAGCAGGTGCCATGGGTTGACCGAATGAGATGATCGGTAGATGCACCACACCCCCCCCTACTGTGCCAGGCTAGGTGCAGGAGGTCTCGGGACAGACCCCAGCAAGTGCCATGGGTTGGCTGACTGAGATGACCACCGGTAGATGCACCCACACCAAGCTGTAACCCCCCTACTGTGCCAACTTGCTCCATTTTAGCCCGCCCGGCGCTCCGCTCGTTGCTGTGAGCGTCGCTCCTCTGCCCTCCGTTGTTGCAAGAGGGCGACTGCCTCCAACTGCCCAGCAGCAGCGTCCTTCGATTTTAACACACACACACAAGGCTTTTCCACTTACCCCGCAGATGTTGTAGGAGGCACAGAGATTTCTGCTGGTCACCGTGGCGTTGAACACGACCTGGCATTCACTCTGCTCCATGATGCTCACGCGGTTTGCAATGGCGTAGCCTGGGCACAAGAAAAAAACAAAACAAACACACAACGCAACACACGACGTTCGTCAAGATCGTTACATTTAATCCATTTCACGTCAAATGTTACTGTTGCCTGTGGGGGAGTGGGGGGGGGTGGTTGACGGAGGGGATTGCACAGCAGGTTTGATTCCCAGCCCCCCCGGTCTCACATTAGCGGGCACCGCGGTGGCTAGGAGATGTTAACTACCTCGCCCGGTATACAGTAGGTCGTGGGTTCACTCAGCGATGTTAACTACCTCGCCTGGTGTGCAGGAACTCGTGGGTTCGATCCCGACCCTGACGATGCCTGCTGCTGCTGCTGTATATTTGGAGTCTGGGTCTCTCATCATCACAGAGTCGAGGAGATGTTGACTACCTCGCCTGGCACGCAGGAGCTCGTGGGTTCGATCCCGACCCTGACGATGCCTGCTGCTGCTGTATATTTGGAGTCTGGGTCTCTCATCATCACAGAGTCGAGGAGATGTTGACTACCTTGCCTGGCACGCAGGAGCTCGTGAGTTCGATCCTGACCCTGACGATGCCTGCTGCTGCTGTATATTTGGAGTCTGGGTCTCTCATCATCACAGAGTCGAGGAGATGTTGACTACCTCGCCTGGCACGCAGGAGCTCGTGGGTTCGATCCCGACCCTGACGATGCCTGATGCTGCTGCTGTATATTTGGAGTCTGGATTGGATGGCCAGCACAAAGCTTTCCCTTGGGCCGACTGAATTTGTATCCACGCCACCCCCCCCCCTCCTCCCCCCCCCCCCCCATTGCTGATGATGACCTCCACAATAGGCGGCCGACTTTATGTCACTCGCTCGCGTTCGCGTCTCTAGCAGCGATCGTCGGCAATCCGATGCAGTGCTTCTGAAACCGCAGAAGGCATTTAACCCGAGAGAGACAAAGGGGGCAACAGAAACCGGACGGAGGGACGGACGCATGAAGGGATGGACGGACCAAAGTATGGATGGACGAAAGAATGGACAAACAGAGGAATGGTCAGATGGACGAAGGAACAGATGAAGGGACAGACAAACAGAGGGAGGGACAGACGGACGAAAGAACGGACAAGCAGAGGGACGGATGAACGAAGGGACGGATGAAGGGACAGAGAAACAGAGGGAGGAGGGACGGATGAACGAAGGGACGGACTAAATAATGGACAAACAGACGTAGGGACAGATGCTTGACGGGATGGATGAAGAGACGGACAAACAGAGGTAGGCACAAATGAACGAAGGGACGAACGGACACAAAACGCTTTACCAGAATTGCTACTTATGACCGAGCAGGATTTTCCCGGCAGAGGCACCAGCTGGAGACGGTGGGGCAGGCACGCGGGCCGTATGTGGTCTGACGGGCTGAAGCTGATGAGCAGGCGCACCAGGGCCACATCATAGTCCCACGTGGAGGCGTTGAACTTGGGGTGCCGAGCGATGCTCACGAGGCCGCTGCTGGTGTTGTTGTTGAACTGGGCGAGCCAGTCGCCCGGAATCAGCGACCTGCAGCGAGAGCATTGAGCGTCCCGCCAACAGACGCTCCAGCCACGTGGTCCGCGCGGACAATTCGGCAGAGTGTGTCTGTGTGTGTCTGTGTGTGTATGTGTGTGTGTGTGCCACAGATGAGTACCTGGTGCGATGTGTAAAGATCGCCAATAGGGAGACAAAGGCGGCCGGGCTTGGTGTTGGCCACCCACCTCCTTGTGTGCCGTGCCGGCCTGCATAGGTGCTCGCTAACAGCACTTGCCCCCTACAGTCTATTACAGGCTACACGGGGGATCTTTGTCTTCTTTTGCTCGCGTGTGTGTCTGTGTCCGGCGAAAACAACCTCCTCGCTGGTGCCGGACGACAACGCTGCGGTGGATGTCAGCAATGCCATGGAGAGAATTGCCAATTCAAAAATAGGCTCTTCCCCTCATGGTGCTTGTAGCCGCCACAGCGCCAAAAGGGGGGCTAAGGACGTTTGCGAAGGCCTGATAACTCCACCACTTTCAAAACAAGTACCACTAAAACGTGTTTCAAAATGTGACTAAGCTTGTGCCAGAAGCCCCGGAGGTACAGGCCTCTATGACGTATCCTGGCAAAACCCCATTTGGCAGAGCCAGGAGACTGATCACACACCCTCGGGTTTTTTTCCAGAAACGGCAAAAAGCCACTGCGGGTGGCCCCGTGGAACGTTCGAATGCTCACTGCGGAGGAGAGGCTGCCACTCCTTTGCCGGGAGCTGGATCGGTACTGCCTGGGTCTCTGCTCTATTCAGGTCGGGTGGACTGACTCTTGCTCCAGTCACCATGAGGGGTGGACAGTCCTCTACTCGGTGCAGACGACTGCCAAACAACAGGGAGTGGCGCTTCTTCTGAACCAAAGAATGAAGGGGGCGTGGGAGCGTGGCGGTGAGGTGTGGGACGCTGTAAGCCCCAGGCTACTGTGGGCTTGCATTATCAACAACCAGAGGCGAGGACTAGTGGTGGTGGTTACTTATGCCTCTACCGGAGATGAACATCAGTGGAGGGATGCAGGCAAGGCCGATGAGTCAGATGCCTTCTATGACCTCCTATCACAGGCGCTAACTGTAGTGGCTTCTCAGGATACAGTCATCCTGTTGGGTGACTTTAATGCACGAGTGGGTAATGATGCTGGCACCTGGACTGGAGTGATTGGAAGGCATGTGCCAGATCAGCTCAATAACAATGGTAATAGGCTGCTAGACATTTGTGCAGCCTATAGGCTTGTAATTACCAACACGCATTCCAGCATCTCTAAGATGCACCTGCCATTCTTTCACTCCCGTGGTGGGTGTCCATATAGGATCCCATTTAAATCCACAGTGGCCTGGTCTCAGCTCGCTGATGAAAGTTGCAAGCGAGAAGTTCATCATCGCTTGCAGCCGGGTTGGCATCATCACGCCAACCCGCTCCTCCTGATGCGGAGGGGAACTGGGAAATGTTTAAGACTGTGGCTCATGCAGCTGCAATGGCTGATTTGGGTACACCTCCCAGAGATGCTGGCTGACAGAGGAGATGTTCTGACCGGCTGACAAAAAAAAACATATCCACTGTCACCATCTACAGCATCCCGCATCGGAGAATGATGAGGCTTACCGCAGCCTTTGCTTGGAGGTTCTGAAAGTCGTGCGGCACTGCAAAGATGGTTGGTGGTCGCGGTTTGCTGAGGGGATGGAGTCTGCCCAGCAGCCCGCGATCAACAAATCACTCTTTAACTCCATCAAAAAAGTTATTTTCAGCACCACACCTATCACCATCATTAGGGGAAAGAAAGGAGATCCGATCTCTGACCCCCAGGAACAGGTTTGCAGATTTGTTGAGCATTTCTGTGAGGTTTTGGGGGAGGGGAAATCCCTCAACCTGGAAAACATCATTTGGGCACAGTACGATGACCCTGCTGAGCCTGTGGTGCCTCAAATATTGGAAGAAATAGTCACCCCCTGTGAGTGGCTGGCTGAAGTGTCATTGGTTGAGGAAGTACCAAAGGCGATCCAGAGTCTACGACCAGGAAAGGCACGACGCAGAGATAATCTCCCAAGCGAAATGCTGAGGGAGGGTGGCGTTTGTGCCCAGACTGCCCTATATGACATCATAACAACAGTCTGGACCACTGGACAGGTTCCGCTGGATTGGAAAGATGCCCTGGTGATCCCCCTCTCTAAGAAAGGGGACCACACAAACTGTAACAACTACAGGGGTATATCTCCCTCCTCATTGTGACGGGAAAGGTCTTGGCAAGATTTCTTCAACATCGCCTTGCCAGCCACACTGAGGAGAGGCTTGCGGAACCTCACTGTGGTTACAAACCAGGGCGATCCTGCACATATGTCATATTTTCTGTCCTGCTACAGCACAGGTGTAGGGAATTCTAACAAGACCTACACCTCTGAATTAATGACCGGGTTAAGGTTGATGA